ATATGATGCTGTACCTTTGGATTTTTTTGGAAACCTTGCAACGTTGGAAACAATCGGGCAACCCAAGTTGGGGCTGCTCTCGAGCCCCCTTCTCTTCAACGGCAGAAAACCTTGAGAACTAAGGTTTTTGAGAACTTTGGGGCAGAAGGTTGATGCCAGTACACCTTTTCGGACGCAAACCATGTTTTGTTGATTTTGTCGATGTAAAGCACGTGTTTGCGGAATTCGGAGGCTCTAACCTGCGACCAACGCATGGTGATATCCTGTGATTTACAACGAACCGATTTCACCCTGACAGCCCATGTTTAAAATCATAAGTTTGAGGTCCCCATGGCAGGGGATTTTTTTTTGTTTGTATGGATTGGGAATCCAAGTCGGGAAAGTTCACAGAAGAAAACAAAGTATCCTCAACAGGAAAAGAGTTGCTGACAGAGTTCTATTTGCGAAACATGAACAAAAACAAAACTCTATACTTGAGGAACCTTTCCGTGGAACAGCAGGTTGCTCAACCTTGCATGGAAAACGAGTTCCGATCCGGAGAGCCACCCAAAAGTGGGATTCGAGTCGGTTTCGGGTTTCGGGTTTCGGGTTTCGGGTTTCGTCGATTGAAACCCACTTTCGCTGTCGGTTTCGGGTTTTGGGTTTCGGGTTTCGTCGATTGAAACCCACTTTCGCTGCCGGTTTCGGGTTTCGGGTTTCGGGTTTCGTCGCTTGAAACCAACTTTCGCTGTCGGTTTCGGGTTTCGGGTTTCGGGTTTCGTCGATTGAAACCCACTTTTGCCGTCGTTTTCGGGTTTCGGGTTTCGGGTTTCGTCGATTGAAACCCACTCTCGCTGTCGGTTTCGGATTTTGGGTTTCGGGTTTCGGGTTTCGTCGATTGAAACCCACTTTCGCTGTCGGTTTCGGGTTTCGGGTTTCGGGTTTCGTCGCTTGAAACCAACTTTCGCTGTCGGTTTCGGGTTTCGGGTTTCGGGTTTCGTCGATTGAAACCCAATTTTGCTGTTTCGGGTTTCGGGTTTCGGGTTTCGTCGCTTGAAACCAACTTTCGCTGTCGGTTTCGGGTTTCGGGTTTCGGGTTTCGGGTTTCGTCGCCTGAAACCAACTTTCGCTGTCGGTTTCGGGATTCTGGTTTCGGGTTTCGGGTTTCGTCGATTGAAGCTAACTTTAGCTGTCCGTTTTGGGTTTCGGGTTTCGGGTTTCGTAGGTCGAAACCACCTTTAGATTCACCAGTACGATGCCGATCTCACATCACCCAAGTGTCGTTCTCCATGCAGTCGTCAAAAACAAGAGCGGTGAGTGACAAGCGCCTGAAAAGGTCAGAGAGGAAAAACGGCAACGGTTTGGGGGAAACTAGCTGACACTGAGTGGATTAGATTAGATTAGATTAGGTAGAGTAGATCAGATTAGATTAGGTAGATTAGATTAGATTAGAATTGGATTAGATTAGGTAGATTAGATTAGATTAGATTAGATTAGGTAGAGTAGATCAGATTAGATTAGGTAGATTAGATTAGATTAGGTAGATTAGATTAGATTAGATAGATTAAACTAGATTAGAATTAGGGTAGGTTAGGTAGATTAGATTAGGTTAGACTATATAGATGAGATGAGATTAGAATTATATTTGATTAGATTAGATTAGTTTAGGTGGATTAAATTAGATTAGATTAGGTTAGATTAGATTAGATTAGGTTAGATTAGATTAGTTGGATAGATATGATATGATATGATATGATATGATATCATTAGATTAGATTAGATTAGAAATATAAGATTAGAAGAATTAGATTAGGTTAGATTAGGTTAGATTAGGTAGATTAGATTAGATTAGATTGGAATAAGAATTATTATAGAATAGGTAGATTAGATTAGATTAGATAGATTAGATTAGATTAGCTTTGGTTAGATTAGAATCTGATTTGATTAGGTAGTTAAGATTAGATTAGAATTAGATTACTTAGATAGATAGATTAGGTTAGATTAGGTAGATTAGATTAGGTTAGGTAGATTAGGTTAGATTGGATTAGAATTAGATTCGATTAGGTAGAGTAGATAAGATTAGATAGGTTAAACTAGATTAGAATTAGATTACATTGGGTCATTAAATTGGATTAGATTAGATTAGATAGATAAGATTAGAAATAGATTAGATTAGGTAGATTAGATTAGATTAGAATTGGATTAGATTAGGTAGACTAGATTAGATTAGGTTAGATTAGATTAGGATAGATTAGGTAGATTAGATTAAATTAGATAGATTAGATAGATTAGATTAGGTAGATTAGATTAGATTAGAATTTGATTAGATTAGGTAGATTAGATTTGAATAGATGAGATTAGATTAGATTGGAATAGGTAGATTAGATCAGATTTGGTAGATTAGATTAGATTAGATAGATTAAACTAGATTAGAATTAGAGCAGGTTAGGTAGATGAGATTAGGTTAGACTATATAGATGAGATTAGATTTGAATTAGATTTGATTAGATTAGATTAGGTAGATTAAATATGATTAAATTAGATTAGAATTAGATTTGAATTAGATTAGAATCAGATTAGTCAGATAGATAGATTAGATTAGATTAGGTAGATTAGATTAGATTAGATTAGATTAGATCAGGTAGATTGGATTAGATTAGATAGACTAGATTAGATTAGATAGAATAGATTAGGTTAGATTAGGTTAGATTAGATAGATTAGATATGATTAGATTAGATAGATTAGATCAGATTAGATTAGATTAGATAGATTAGATAGACAGATTAGATTAGGTTAGCTCTAGATTAGATAAGATCGGTCCTGGGGAAGTTAAGTCTTCAGAGTCGGTTTCGGGTTTCGGGTTTCGGGTTTCGCAGTTCGAAACCAACTTTAACAGTCGGTTTCGGGTTTCGGGTTTCGGGTTTCGGGTTACGATCGGTCCTGGGGAAGTTAAGTCTTCAGAGTCGGTTTCGGGTTTCGGGTTTCGGGTTTCGATCGGTCCTGGGGAAGGTATATAAGTCTTCAGAGTCGGTTTCGGGTTTCGGGTTTCGGGTTTCGGGTTTCGGGTTTCGGTCGGTCCTGGGGAAGTTAAGTCTTCAGAGTCGGTTTCGGGTTTCGGGTTTCGGGTTTCGCAGTTCGAAACCAACTTTAACAGTCGGTTTCGGGTTTCGGGTTTCGGGTTTCGGGTTTCGCTGGTCGAAACCAACTCTGCAGACCTCTCTCCGGATCACGTCTCTGGAAAACATGCTGTTGCTTCAAAAACTTGCATGGGAGCCTTGTTTGCAAACCTTGCTTTGGCACCTTGCTTGCAAGTCTATTCCTGGGAACATTGGGTGCTGAACTGAATGCATGCAAACCTTGTGCGGGTACCTGTCGTGAAGCCTCGTGGTTGGAAACCTTGTTTGCGTACATTAAATACCCTATCAAATACCCTAATTACAAGTATCTCTATCAAACCTATCTGTGTCCAACTGCACTCTATCAAAGTCATCTCTGTCAAACTCACCTCGACCAGACGTGTGTGTCTGTCAATCTTACATTAGTCGAACTTCTCTGTATCAAATCTATTTTTTTTCTTCCTGCCCGTGAAACTGAACTGCCACTTTAAAGGATGCGTTTGGCGTTTGGTTGAATAATGATTTTCCTTGAAACGCCCACTTTCCCTCGATCTTGTCATCATTGTAGCAGTTTGCCCTAGCAAATTCTAGCAGCACAGTCCGAACGTGCTCAAATAGCATGAAACCATTTGTTGTCTGCATACGCTTTGGTTTAAGAGGCAACAATGAAAAAAATGCAAAAACGAATAAGAACATATGTTTTCTCTTGGTATTTGGGGTCTCTGCTGACGTCACTTTTTGATGCATATTTTTGATTATTTTTGTTGGATCTTGCTGCACGAAGCTGGCGACGGCACGCTTTCCAGCACTTTTGGGTTTATTGTCTTTCGATTCAAACCCCAATTTTTTTGGTCCTATGTTTTTTTTTGCAAATCAGATTTTGTTGATCCATATCTCCATCTGAAAGGGTAACTTGAATTTCGAGATTGCAGTTCAAAGAACATTTCAAAGAGCATGCAACGTCGAGGGGTAGAGCTTCGAAACAGCACAATGACGGTGCAAAAACAAACACACATCATGATGCAAACCTTGTGCCAATGTTGAGACAGTGGAAATACCAGATTTTTCAAAACAATTGTCCAGACAACATGTTGCTAATTGCATGCAAAATTCAGTGTGAAACCCAGGTTTACAGTTCCAAAGCAACAGTAAGACCATGCAAAACGAAACAAATGCTATGCAAAACTGCTGCTTCCCCAATGTCCAGACCATGCAAACACCGTGCAATGTCCTGCCAAAAAAATCCAGAACCAGGAGACATCGACAAACATGTTTCTGAAAAACATGCACGCTCAAAGGTTAAAAACTTTTAAAACAACACCAAATCATGATCCAAAACGCAACAAATAGCAACAAACATCGCTGGATGCAGAGATGAAAAACTAAACGTGTCTTGAAAGCAAATTACAACGAAAAACACCAGATGCAGTTATTTTCAGAGACATTTCGAAAACACAAAATCCTTGGTTCTAGTTCCAAAACAGCACATGAAATATGCAAAATGTGGCAAACACCAGAGAAAAACTCGCGATGCACGGGCCAGGGCCCCCTTAGAAACGTTGCGGAAACATGCAAATGGCAGAGTCACAATTCCAAACGAAGCAAGGACCATGCAAGACATAGCAAATAACATTGAAATCCAGTAGAGCAAGGGATTCCCAAAAATCCAAAATGCATAGAAAAAAACAACCTCGAATTGATTCTGCACTTTTGAAAAAAACAAAAAATACCTGTCCTTGCTGCATGTGGTTTTCATCATTAAGACTTAGTGCCTCGAATTTTTCCGGGGCTGCCGAAAAAAAAATGTGGTGGCATTCGGTTTTCACCAAAATCGTCAATGAGTCACTGCAGCACTGACGGTATCCAAGCCATTTGAGCTATCAAGAGCAGACGACAAGAGCCAGGAGAAAATCATCGCGTTTCCATGCGAAACATTGTGCTGAGAGCCTTGGCCTACTTTTGAAATTTCATGTCACTTGATCGTTGCATGCATCTGCGAGTTGCTTATGCATGCCTTCGGAGTCCGTGAAATCTGTCCTTCTCCAAGACAACTTTGGATCTGCACTCAGGTCTGTTGGTGCCCCTGGTGGCTGGATCGTGTTTGCCCGATGCCATCCCACCTGAAAACCGAAAGAACTTGGCGGGAATCTCAGCAACTTCAAGTCCTACATCTATGTTCACACCGGTGCATACATTTAACATGTACGTATGTATATATATATATATTATTATATTATATTATATTATATTACATTATATTATATTATATTGTATTATATTATATTATATTATATTATACCTTATGCTGCGTTTTTCACAACCCTTTTTGGCCTGGAGTACATCCAATGCAGTGTACTGTCCATAGCCATACCCATTGTTACTTTTTCTGTCGGTCCAATGTGACATTTATTGCAATGTTTGATTCTGGGAGTTATATTGTATTGTATTGTATTGTATTATATTGTATTATATTATATTATATTACATTATATTATATTATATTATATTATATTTATGCCCTGTATGTAGCCACTGTATACATGATGAATATTTGTATATATATATATTAGTATATATATATTATATTATATTATATTATATTATATTATATTATATTATATTATATTTATGCCCTGTATGTAGCCACTGTATACATGATGAATATTAGTATATATATATTATGTTATCTTATATTATATTATCTTATCTTATATTATATTATATTACATTATATTATATTATATTATATTGTATTATATTATATATACACAGTATATATTATAATACAGAACTACACATATTGCATATACACACATAATTTACACAGATGATAGGCCCTTGTGTACTTCAGAGAGAATACTGTAATGGTGAACAATTTTTTCACCGTTCATGATTAGCCATTCAGTCATTGATAGCCATTGTTAACATGTTTATGCAACTGTTTTATATTTGCATTTTCTGATCCGGCCATGCCTTGGTCGCCATTTAGATAGGTTAATGTTGAAGATCAAAAAAACAGCCCACATATTCCATAAACAGGTGGTATCAACCATCCAAAAATGGTGGGTCTATTGTGGATTTGTCCTTATTGTTGCACAATTTCATCCGTTGTTTACACATTTTGCGACTTGTTGTGAATGATCCGGGATTGTGGCTCGCAAAGGTCAACCCCAATGGCGAAACCTATCCCGTTGGCCTCTTCGTCTCCTCGTATGCAGCTTCATATGCGGCTCAATACTTGGGATCCATTCTCATTCAGGCTCTGAAGCGACATGCTTGGATTTTGGGCTGATATAGATATCCAGGTTATCGGGGATAGCTGCTGCTGATTGTAACAATGATGATATGTTGATGATGGTAATGATGACAAAATGATGCTGTTTCTTAACGGCCGTCGCCGTTGCTGTTGCTGCTGCTCTTGTGGTGGTAGTGGTCGTCGTCCTTCGTTTGCTGCTTCTTCTTCCAACTGTCTTTGTCATTCCATGTCATTCCTGAAGGGCTTCCACTACAAAAAAAGTCTCAGTCTTCATATTTGCATTTATAAGTTCTCCCCTAGCCAGCATCATGTGTAGAGTTTAGTTGCTTTTCATGTGCAGGCAAGGCGAATGCTATTGAACGGATAGCGGTGGTGGGAAAACCACGGGTGACCTGTACTTCAACGGTGTAGAGAGTGTAGAGTCTCATTCTGTGGAATTCATACATGTTTGGAAACACATGGTCTTGAGGGAACCAGTGAAGGACTTGAGCACTTGAGTTAACTTGGAAACTAAGCAGCTCCACTGCGACCAGCGTTTCATGATTTTCCAAAAAACATGTTTCCTCAACATTTTGAGAAGCCGGAGTGAAACTTCAGCGACACCCCATGCAGTGGGAATTAGGTTTTGGAGCACTTGTCGCTTGCCGGGGCAGGAAATGCTCGGATACAACACTACGCTTAACCTTGATAATCTGAGAAGCGGTGCATTGTCGGGATATTACGGGTTAACGGGATGCAGCACTCCCACCAACACTGACGACCGTGGATGCATAGAAGGCGTCCCTTGGCAGAAACGAGAAGTTTTTGTTCTTGCTGTCTATATGAATTGTTCCCTTTTGGCACACTACGCGGTAAGCTTTGTAGTGCTGTGGATAACCATACATGGAGCGAATCCAAGCCGCATTCGTCGGTTTTTGTCGTGCTGTCAGAAGTCAATGCAGTTTTGCAGGCGCATACCTTGCTTGTAGCACCTTTGACTGCGAGAATATCTGTTTATGATTGCAGGGGCGGCGGCTGCTGCTGCTGCTGCTGCTACTGCTACTGCTGCTACTGCTACTGCTACTGCTACTGCTACTGCTGCTGCTGCTGCTGCAGCTGCTACTGCTACTGCTACTGCTACTATTACTGCTACTACTACTACTACTACTATTACTACTATTACTCCTACTGCTACTGCTACTACTACTACTGCTACTACTACTACTACTACAACACGACTACTACGACTACGACTACGACTACTACTACTACTACTACGACTACTACTCCTGCTGGTGCTGCTGCTAATCATCCTTGCCTTTGCTTTCTTCATTGTTTATTCTCGCCCCGTTGTGTTTGTACTTTGTGCGGTGGGCTTAGTTTGATGACAAGTGCCTGGTCAGAAGGCAACGCAGGGTTCTGCAAGGTTCTTCAAAAATTCCAGGGCCAGTGTGACTGTGAGCCGGGTTTTGCGAACAACAGACACATTGGCAATGGGAAGATTCTGTGTAATGCAAGCTTTGAAGGGTCTGTGAGTTTGGCGCAGCCACAAGAAATGCTGGCCTGGGCCGTCTTGCTCAAAGAAATGTAAAGCGTGGTGGGTTATCCAAGACAAGAAGTGTTCCAGAGTTCCTCAAGGATTGTTGAAGGGTTAGGGGGGCTTCTTGGTTTCTGGATCAAACGCTCTTCACGCTGCCCGCCAATCTTTTTACAGAGGGAGTGCTTTAATCTCCTTTTGAAGAGATGGCGGCTGTGAACATGGACCGCACTTGTGCAGACGGGGCGCTAGTTCACCTTTGCAAAGCATGTCGGGTTTGGTTGTAGTCCTTGTTTCTGACGTAGAAGCGACTCAGATGTTTTCTTCTCGACATTATTGTTAGTCCCAAATTCCAGCGGAATGAAATTAGAGTGAAACTTTAGTTTTTTTTTTTTCTGGCTTTGTCAGGTTTACCCACTTGGCCGCTCGTTTTTCTTTTATTGCACACCCTGCCAGTTTGTTGATTTGTAAAGACTGTAAAACTGGGAGGATTTTCTGGCGAAGTTTGCCAGCGAAAGTTTGCCCGCGGAGTTGGTCTCAAAGTTGTTTTGCGTGAGGGTCCTTTTGTGTCCATGCGGCGAAGTTTGCGGCGAAAGGTCGGCAAAATTTCGTTTCCTTTTGTTTCCCTCTTTAGAAAAATCATCGAAATTTCCCCACAAATTTCACCACGTGCCACGGCCACAAACCGAGAAAATTCCACTCAGTGGGACGATTTCCCCACCCAGTACCTTTATTCCAAGCGTCAAGACAAAATTTGGGCAGACAAAATTTGGGCTGCCAAATTTCGGAATCAGCATTTTGAATCATTTTGATGCAATGCAATTCAGAAGGGTCTGCTTTCCTTATCTTTCCTTGGTCACGCTTTCCTGTGGCTGCAGGGATTGTGATTTTTAATTTATGCTCCCTTGGCACGGCAGAAGTGGAGCCACACAACCCAC